CCACAAAACGTGCATGCACGTTTTACATACACACTCAGAAATATAAGCCATATGCTTTAAGTAAATACTGTTCTGGAGTTGACTGTTCCCTTGGAAGATAGAAGTTTTGTAAATGTCAGAAATTTCTTTGAGTAAACATAAATAAGCTTGTCAGAAAGTCCAGTCAGGTTGAGACTTATATAAAACATGAAGGGCTCCCCAAATCTTAGTCCCAAATCCTGTTTTGTTTTGTTTTCCTTTGTAGGTAAATCATGTGTAAGTCCTGGAGAACTCCTCCATGGCTCTGTCCTCACACACATGAATATCAAATTTGAGTCTACAATTACATATTCTTGTGACAAAGGGTGAATTAGCAGGAGACATTTCTAGGGTACGTGGGTGTTATAGCCATCATTTCAGCCAGAAGCCATCTGTCTTAAAAAAGAGATCTGAGTAATTTATACCTACCCTTCAAAATAGAGAAGCAAAAAGAGAATCACCTACCTCATCTACTCTAGAGACTACCTTTCAGGATTACCCACTGGAGAGATTACCTAGAAGAGAAAGTATGCTGGGCTACCCTTCCTCCAATTTTAAATCTCCACTATTACTGACCAACAGGCAAATTTTACTTGGCTTTGGATTCTTTTATCTTTTGTATGGGTCCTTAGTCCATCACTTATACTTGTCACACATGATATTCCATCCTTTGCCATTCTTTCAGTGGACAGAGAACTAAGCTTTGCTGAAGTGTACATCTAGCTGAGAGATGATCCCTCATCTCTTTGCCTTTAGATATCAACTCATTGGTGACTCATCTGCTATATATATTATCTCAGGCAATACTGTAACCTGGGATAAGGACATGCCTTTATGTGAATGTGAGTACAATGATCCCTTTACTGTACCCTATGTAATTCTTGTATTCTTCTAGAGGGAAATTAGGCATCTGCATATCAAAATGTGTGCCCAGACAAAGTTACAGTTGGTTTGGAAATTTCTTCCAAACCAAGAGCTGTGGCATATGTTCTTCCAATTCCCCCAATACCATCACACTTTCCTTTCATCTCTCCCCTTTGATGATAAGTTATTTCATACTGAATAAGGGCTTAAATCTAAATAAAATATGCCATGAGATTACACTGCCAACCTATTTCATGAAACATGTAGGTCATCCCAGGTGCCTCATATAACAATTTTATCAGTATTTTGAGGATGAGATCTAGTAATCTTGTCAGTTTTTTTTTCTTTAACTTTATATCAGGGAGGTTCCAGGCATCTTCCTACCTTGCAACTTCCTGTATAATCATCTTTGAGACAAGGATATACTATTTCAACAAAATGTGTTCTTTGTATGTTGAATTAGAGTTTGGTTTTTAAGACTGAAAACAAAATCCCCAGAGGGTATAACATTTAAATATCTTCTTTATTCTCCCACCTGATTCCCAAAAAGCTATTCCTTGTGAGACACCCCCAACCCTCTCCAATGGGGACTTTTCTAGGAGCAGTAGAGATAACTTTTACTATGGAATGGTGGTGACTTATCAGTGCCATGTTGGACAGAATGGGGAAAAGCTGTTTAACCTGGTGGGTGAGAAGTCAATATATTGTACCAGCAAAAACAATCAAGTTGGCATCTGGAGTGGCCCTCCTCCTCAGTGTATTAATCTAGTCAAATGCCAAGTTTTGGAAATTGAAAATGGAATTATAGAATCAGGATATAGACATTCATTTTTCTTGAATGATACTTTGATGTTTAAGTGTAAGCCTGGATTTACCATGAAAGGCAGCAACACAGTATGTTGCCAACCAAACAGTAAATGGGATCATCAACTGCCAAGGTGCTTCAAGGGTGAGTTGGACTGAAAATTTGGTAATATAAATGAAATTTAGTTGAATAGACACATGGCAGCTATGAGAGGAAGGGGAGTAAGAAAGTAGATGTGGTTGGGTATCCTTGTTAAAGAATTTCAAAGTGAACTTTGAAAGTAAAATCTACATGTTGATAAGGTAAGAAATTTACTACATCATGGAGCAATGTGAGATATACATTAATGTAGGGAAATTTAGAAGACACTTAAAAAAAAAACAGATAGTGCCAGAGCCAATGATCAGAGATTTTTCTAAAATGTATACATAAATCAATTTTCTTTGAATGAATTTAAAGTGAATTTTCAATTCTATTAGTCATGCCAATGGGGTAATTGGCTGATGTCAGAATTTGATTCAAATATCTGTATACATTACACATTCTTATATTGAAAACAAGGCTAGAATTAAAATTTAGTCTCTTTCCCCCTACTCTTATTGAGAATATCTGACTTACAAAAATGTGGCTACATTCAGATCCTCCTGCTCTCACACTATAAGGCCTAGAACCCTTATTGACCTGGGTTGGGGAGCAGGAAAAATGAGGTAGAATTTGGTGATAAAAATGTATTACCAAAGTTTGGTTCCCCTGACTATTGTATCAGTGAGAAGAAAACCACCATCATTTTAGTTAAACAAAGTAGAAAATGATGAGTAAATGTAATGTTTCATGGTACATCAAGAGAGAAAGCATATGGTTGCATGGTTCACCATGTATAAAAAAAGTAATGGATGTTAGCCCACTCCACATTACTGAAGGACTCTCTGCTTTATATTAGGAAAGTTGACATGACCAATTTTGTCTTACTCCACACCCCAAGTTTGGCTTAGGTTGTAGAGAAGAAAGTGCTTATTTCATAAATAAAAGGCCTCTGGTCCAGTTCTTTTCTCTGGGTGTCTACCCACCTCCACATATATACCATGGTAATTGAAACAAAAGGAATAAGGAATTCTTTGCAATTGGACAGAAAGTGTCCTATAGCCGTGAGCCTGGCTAAAGTCTCATTGGAGCTAACCCTCTGCAGTGTACATCCTTGGGAACCTGGAACCATATAGCCCCCAAATGTGAAGGTGTCCAAAGCTCTCTTCCATTTTAAGGAAACTCAGCTGTTTCCTGACTCTTCATGTGCCAGCTCTGTCTCTTTTTTCCTAGTGGAATCATGTGATGCCATTCCAGAAAAACTTTTCAACAGCCAGGTGGCGGCCCTTCCTAACCTCCATCTTGGGGCAGAAGTTTCTTTTGTTTGTAATGAGGGGTGAGTGTGAGGTGACAGGGCCTGAATTGAGACCTATGACTTACAGTTAAGCATTGTTATATGTGATCTTCAAACACCGTTACTTTGTTTTCCTCCCCCTAGTCTTTTCCCTCCTGTTCTTTACCATTTATGACTGAGAATCCTGTTATTAACCAAATTGTTTTTCTTCAAGTGGAGATATTATACATGATCTGTGAAAAGTGGGCATTATCCATTCATCATTGAAAAAAGAAAGTCTGAGGTCCAAAGAGAAGTCCTCTCTTATGGAGAATGAATAGATGATGGGGGTGTAGTAAGAGGGACTCTTTGGGATAAGCTTAGGGAACAAGATCTTTGATATTTTCTTCACTCAGAACTGAGTTTTATTCCTTCAAAATTGTCAAGAGAATCTTGAAATTTGGAAGCCAAAGAGAAAAAGGAGAATATTTTAAAAATTTATAGTCTTTAGGATTTTTTTCTCTGTTTTTACTTGGTCTGAAGTCATCACATAGCCAAATTGATTCATAAACAATCTTGGACTTTTTCCTTAAGCCTAAAATGCTTTAAAAAACTGAGTTCATTAATACCATGTGTTTAAGAAATGTGATTAATTCCATGCAACTGAGAATTGGTTTCTTCTGGTGATGATTTGCTTGCTACCCCTTATTGTTTAAGGTACTGGTTAAGTGGCAATTCTTCTAGTCAGTGTTTTTTAGAAGGGATGAGAGTATGCTGGAATAATAACTTTCCTGTCTGTGAATGCAAGTAGAAGCAAAAATAAGTATGAATCTCACCTCTTGATTTTTGGTGTTATCATGCATTTATAAATTATAACATCTTATCTGTATGTGTACTTTGAACATTGACATGCCATTATTCAGTATGTTCTACAGTGCAGACCAAAATGAAAGGTATTCAGTTGACTACATATTTATTGAATATTCTATTTATATTAAGATAAAAGCTCTGGAAAGTTACCCCACTGTATGAGTAGCACATCTGTGTTGAAATGGTTTGGCCATGTGTTCTTATTCCAGTTCCTCTACTGACGAGCAACTCTTAGAGCTAAATGGAAACCAACCAGTAGTTCTAATATTGGCACTTTTCCTTCATTCTGAGACTGACTCAGGAAAGGTGTGTGTATACCAACCCAGCTATAAAGAATGAATATTTGCACAAGAATATAAAGGATATGAGGTCATTATTCCAAATCCCTGACCACTTCCTGTGGCTTTTTCAAAAGGATGCAGCATTGAAGGATGACAAATGACTGTAGTGAGGCTGCAGTATCTTTAGTAGAGGGACCCTTTCACCACTTGTAGCCCCAGTTGTGTGTTTGAAACAGGCATCAAATAATTTCTACATTCCAGGTGTTGTAGCTGTTTATTTCAGGCCTTTTTTCTCTCTGGGTCTCAGTTATGATCTTATGAAGTAGCTTGATTTATATGATACACTAGAAAACTGAGACTTAGAGATGGTAAGACTTGCCCAAAGTTACACAGCTATTGAATGACAGTGGGGATTTAAAATTAGGTCACCTGAGCCCTCATTTCATTAGTCCATGATGCTCACATATGTGATTAGCATGTCATTAACATGTAGTTTAATGTGCTGTTTGCCTTTATTTTATTAAAATTGATTAGACTGACAACTATTTAATAAATACTGTTTTATTGTCATTGTTTGGTCAAGATGATACCTATACATTCTATATTGATTTGTTTGCTGAGGATCAAGTGAAAGGTAAAAATTTAGGATCTTTGGTATCATCAAGACTATGAGTAAAAAATAAACTATACACATTTCTAACTCTGTTTTTGATAGTGACATATTCTATATTTGTACCTTTAATCTAAATTTGAAATTTTTAGTTGTCATAATTAATATCACCACATATTTATTTTTTTTAATTTTCAGGGATTTTTTGTGACCCTCCTCCTGCAATCAAAAATGGTCAGAGTAGTTATGTTTCTGGCCCTGTACCTATTAATACTTTCGTGAGGTACACTTGTTCACTTAACTACCGCCTCATTGGAGAAAAAAGCATTTTTTGTATTACTAAAGACCAAGTGAAAGGAATCTGGAATAGAGATGCTCCTATATGTGAAAATTTCAACAGGGGGTCTTTTTGCCGTGAGCCCACAGTACCAGGGGGACACAAAAGTAAAATATCTAGGCCACCATACAGACATGGTGATTCTGTGACATTTGCCTGTAACACCAACTTCACCATGAAAGGAAACAAGACCGTTTGGTGCCGAGCAAATAGAACATGGGGACCAACACCACTACCAATCTGTGAGAGGGGTGAGTAAAAAGGAAATTAAACTGAGTTGGGAGGGTGGATCCTTCCATTTCTGTTCAGGTGAAGTTTTGTATCATTCTGAAGGAAGAACAGTGTTAATGTGTGAATGCTGGGAATGAGGGTGGAAGCATGGCCAGGGTGAAAACTATAATTTTCTTGGGGTATTTTTTAGTTGTAAAGAATATTAATGTTCATTCAATAAGCATCAATAGAACAAATATTTTAAATTATGATGGGAAAAAGTAACTGAACATACCTAATAACTGAATTGAATATGTCTCACAAGATTGAGCGCCAGAGTTTGTTAATGGTGTTTTTGTGAATTGTGTGGTTTTAAAGCATATATCTGAGTTAATGTTAAAATGAGAAGAAATGTGAGTTCTGTTAGCAAAATTACAGCCCATGAACTCAACACCCATCTGTAAATAGCTACTAATGCAGCCTGGCAAAAATGGTGCCCTGTTCTATGTGACTTCTATAAATACTTTTCTGAAGTGATCTAGTATTTGTTCAAATCATCTCCCAATCATTACATTTCAAATCAAATGACTTTACAAGTGAGGTCTCCATTAATTTTTATGTAGTTGGGTTTATGCTGTTGCTGAAATCTAAATCTGAACTTCTGTCATAAAATTAGAGTAGTTGGCATGTTTGACAAACATTTTACCATCAAAATTAGCTATTTATTTTCTTAGTGAACAACAAAATTAATTTTAAATTAACAAGTTAAAAAACTTAATGGAAAAATATGATTTTATTTATATATTTATAAATAAATATATAATCTCAGACATAAGGACAATCTGAAGACAGTCACTAAATGAGGTGACTGTACAAAAGAATTCAGCCTTTATAGAAATTTAGGTAGATCTTTATCTATTTACATGGAAAGATCTCATATATTATTAAGCAAAGAAAGGAAGGCATAAATTAAGATGTGAGTACACAGTGTCACCCGATATTCGTACATATATGTATCATATATAGGATCCCACAAAACTGTTACTTATATCTAGCAGGGTAACCCCCTAATAATATACTACTTTTGGAGCAGAGAATAAATTTAAGAGGAGGTGAGAGTATCTGTGAAAATGGACTATTTTTTTATAATTGATATTTTTCACAAAATCATAAAGTAACTAAAAATGAAAAATAATGAGCTATTTTTGGTATAGGATGGATATGATAAATCACACTTGTTTGACCTTTAAAATGTTGAGTTGAAAATTCACGACTCGTTACCACAGATCATGTGCCATTTATTTGGATCCATGTACTATGTCAAAATCTGTATTATGAAGAATATTTCATCTAATGGCCTTTTTTAAAATGTCTGTGTAAAGATTTCCCCCTGGAGTGTCCACCTCTTCCCATGATCCCCAATGGAAATCACACAGGAAACAGCGTTGGCCCCTTTGTCCCTGGATCATCTGTGAATTACCACTGTGAACCTGGTTACTTGCTTGTTGGAGAAAAAACCATTCGTTGTTTGTCTTCAGGAGACTGGAGTGCTGTCATTCCAAAATGTGAAGGTACCCTAAATTTACAACCAATTTTCAGAAATCAGGCTATTCTGTTATATGCCATGCCTTGTGTATCTTTCATGTGTTTCCATAGAGGCACAGTGTGAACCTCCAGGATCACTACCTAACGGGAAGGTAAAGGATCCTCCAAGTCTTCGGGTTAATGTAACTGTGAGCTTTTCCTGTAATGAAGGGTGAGTGTCTGGAGGCCCTATGAGATTTAACCCTTTGGGTTTCTCTGTGCATGGTGATCTGTCAAGGCTCCTCTGTGAGGATGTATGGAGGGCTGGGGGTGAGTTTGTGACAGACAATGCTAATAAGAGTTGATGCACACAAGTCAAATAAACTTAACTGGAACTTTAAGTAGAGGTTATTGACCCATATCAATAGCTGCCTAATAGTTCTGAATGACCACCCTCTCTCTACAGGTATAGATTAGAAGGCCCAACTTTTAGTCGGTGTGTAATTGCTGGACAGAGACCTTTATGGACAAGGATGCCAGTGTGTAAAGGTAGGTTCTACAAAATGTGGTCTGCAGCTAGTTCCTTGTCCAAGGCTCAGGAAAACACTGAATTCTTTTGACAAAAAGCTTCTCCTTAGAAAGCAGATATCTGTCCTAGACATCTCTAAGGGTTATAGCTGAAGCATGTTTCAGTTACCTCTTTATTCTTGTTATTCAAGTAAGGCAGGGTTCCTAGGCTTTTCTTTCTCTGAAATCTACATAAACTTGTAAGCTGGGCCATGCACATAAAGGAGATAATATACTCAGTAAAAGAAATCAAAGGACCAGAAGAAATTCTGGAATAGATCATATGTTTTGAACTATATGCCTATAGCTGCCTTGATTGATTTATTAAAACTCAGGTATCCTAGGTCTGGGAACCTAGGAGGTGAGACTAGCATCAAGTTTGTGGCTTTGTTTGCAGCTCAGCTGAAATCTTGTCATTTCTCTGTGTAATTTCTCTAGAAATCCGTTGCCCACCACCTCCTTCTATTCTTAATGGAAGACATACAGGCAACCCTTCAATGAACGTTCCCTATGGAAGCACAGTCACTTACACCTGTGACCCAGGCCCAGAGAAAGGAGTGGACTTCATCCTGACTGGGGAGACCACGATCCGTTGTACCAGTGATAGTCAGAAGACTGGGACCTGGAGTGGCCCTGCCCCACACTGCAAACTTTCTGTTTCTGGGATTCAGTGTCCACCTCCCCAAATCCTTAGAGGCCAAATACTGTCTGGGCAGAAAGATCAATATTCATATAACAACACTGTGGTATTTGCTTGCTTATTTGGCTTCACCTTGAAAGGTAGGAAGGAAATACGATGTAATAGCCAAGGCATCTGGGAGCCATCCCCACCAGTCTGTGAAAAGGGTGAGTGTTCCAATACCACCAGCAAAAGGTGCTACTGATTGATCCCTTCAAACAATTAAAGGAATGAGTTGTGGACTTAGGCAGGGCCTTTTCTAATTTCTAGTCACCTCAATTTTACTGAATACTACATATAGTGTTTATGAATTATGTAGAAGGCTTTTTTTAACAGTGCCTCCACTTTTGGTTCGTTTTGTGGCAGTATCCTTGGGGAAAATAACATTAGGGAACACTAGGTTGCTCATTTCTTTAGGGAATAAAAATACTTGTTTGTCCTAATACTGATATCTTAGAAGGGAAGTCAGCAAAGTTCCCACCCCATGGAAACATTAGAATCTCTCATGAAAGCACACAAGGTGATTCCTTAAGAAAGGAAGAAACAAGCGAGAAGGTAAAACACTGAGTGGGAATTGAATAAAATCTGCAGCAGCCTAAGAGCAGAAAAGAGGAAAAGATCAGAGCCACTGATCTAAAATTACCCCAAAATGAGCTGCAACATACCCTCTGTATCATACAACAGCTGCCAAAGGGAAATTATAGCATTAATGCAAATTTCTTTGGTTGTTTCCTCCTGTTGCTGTTGTTTATGTAGGAAATTTTTTTCTTCCTTCCCTCTAGAGTGCCAAGCTCCTCCTCAAATCCTCAATGGGCACAAGGAAGATGGACACAGAATCCGCTTTGAACCTGGAACATCTATAAAATACAGATGTGACCCTGGCTATGTGCTGGTGGGAGACGAATCCATACATTGTACCTCTGTGGGGGTGTGGACACCCACTGCCCCCAAGTGCAAAGGTGCCAGGCTTTACATGCATGTGTGTTAAGATTCTGAGATTGTCTTGAGTTGATTTCTCATCCTATTCTCATCTCATTCTCCTCTTTTGTTTTTTTAGTGGCAGAGTGTGAACCTATAGGAAAGCATCTCTATAGAAAACCCCAGACTCAATTTATTAGACCAGATGTTAACTCTTCTTGTGATGAAGGGTGAGTGAGTGCTGGCTCACCTGAACTAGGGCTGGCTCTTCACTGCACACTGCAAGCTTTATGTAAGAGTTTACTGCAAAGACCTGTCTCTGTCATGTGTTCATGGAAGTGTTTATTGTGCTATTTTTCCATGTGTTGGAACTATGCCTATGCATTGGCTAATGGAGCTGATGCCGGCTACATTTTTGTTCCTATTGCTTCTTGTCCTGAACATGGTGAGTCTGCTATAGAGCCAATAGCCCTTGCTTAGCTTAGTGGTCACTAGATGGCAAAATGACATGACTGTATCTCTAGGTACCGGTTAGGTGAGAGTGTTTATCAGCTGTGTCAAGGCACGATTCCTTGGTTTATGGAGATTCGTCTTTGTAAAGGTGAGTAGCACATAGAACAGAGAAATTGAAATAATGTGAGATGTATGCATGCCCTGGGAGATTTCTGTTTTAGGTTATGTTTTGGGAATAAGAATATTAAGCTCTGTTCCATTAACTTTGTCAAGTTTTGCTATCTATCCACTGTAACCTTTCTCTACTTCAAAGCATAGCAACCACTTAATTTAAATGTATTCAGTTGCTGCTCCTCTTTTGTGATTTAGGAGTATAAGATAATGAAAGCAGTGAGTATATGAGCCACCATGCTTAATTTGGGGCACACTGTATTTAAGTGCAGAAAAAGGAGATTGGTATGGGATCTGATCTCTTATTCTGTATCTGCTGCATCATATGATCTTAGTGATTTATGTACTTCTCTGAAACTTTAGCCCCTCATCTGTAAAGTCAGCTCAAGAATGCAGACTTCAAAGTTATTATACTTAACTGATAGTATCCCTACTTTGTAAATGAGAATATTGCTTGTCAAAAAGTAGATGCTCAATCAACAATAAATATTTTTGACCATGCCCTGGCTGGTGTAGCTCAGTTGATTGAGCATGAGCCTACGAACTAAGGGATTGTGGTTTGATCCCCAGTCAGAGCACATGCCTGGGTTGCAGGCCAGTTCCTAGTGGGGAACACATGAGAGGCAACCATACATTGATATTTCTCTCCCTCTCTCCTTCCCTTCCCCTCTAAATATAAATGAATAAAATCTTAAAAAAATAAGAAAAATAAATATAATGACATGACATGTTGGAACATTAAAAAAATATTCTTACCAAACTATCATAGCACCTCAACACAAAGATGGCACTCCAAAAATACTTAACTCTATATGCTCCTGTGCCTTTTATACACCTATTGCTAATTAAAAACCAACATTTTAATTAATAAATTTCTACTGGTCTTGACTGCCTCACAATGTGATACTAATGTACATGGTCATTTTTAAGAAAGATTTCCATTACAGAAGTCTTTTCTATGAATCCTGTTTAAACTGAATTTTACACATCTAATGAGCTTTGACATAACTCATATCATCAAAACTCACCCGTATCCTCCAGGAAATGTGATAATGATGGTTTCATAACCAGATCTGTGTCTCTTCTTGGTTTCTAATACTGAAATGGATTTATTTAGTCACTTCTCATCTCTTCAGAAATCACCTGTCCACCACCCCCTGTTATCTACAATGGGACACACACAGGCAGTTCCTCAGAAGACATGCTGTATGGAACCACAGTCACTTATACGTGTAACCCTGGGACTGAGGAAGGAGTGGAATTCAGCCTGATTGGGGAAAGCACCATCCACTGTACAAGCAACAATGAAGAGAGAGGCATCTGGAGTGGCCCTGCTCCTTTGTGTAAACTTTCCCTCCCTGCTGTTTGGTGCTCATATGCCAATGTAACAAATGGACACAAGATATCTGACAAGGAAGCTCCATATTTCTACAATGACAGTGTGATATTCGAGTGTGATGATGGATTTACTTTGAAGGGCAGCAGTCAGATTCGTTGCAAAGCTAATAACACCTGGGATCCTGAAATACCCATGTGTGAAAAAGGTAATCCCAAATAGAGAAAAATAGGAGGTATTTACTTAGTTTTCTTATCCCCCACCTAAAACTAGAGTCATGGGAAAGTCAATGGGGCACAAATTACTCTCTTGCTTCTTCCATCTGTAACAGAATGTTCCATGTGTGTTTTATATGTTTTCATGTAAATACCTCTTGTATCCAGAGTATATTCAGGGTAGATAATGACAGGCCCTGATTAAAGATGTCTTAGTTCTTTCCAACGTACAGAAAGCATTTAGTATTTTATTAGAGCTTTGTGATCCTTGGCTTAATGTTTAAGATTGTCTATTGTCAAATTTTGTATACTTACTGTTCCAGAGTGTAAATTCCTTTTTTGTTGGTATTTATGTGGGGAGTTTTCTCTTCAGACTGCCAGCCACCTTCTGGGCTCCTCCATGGTCAGCACACAGGTGGAAACAGGGTCCTCTTTGTCTCTGGGATGACTGTAGACTACACCTGTGACCCTGGCTACTTGCTTGTGGGCAACAAATCCATTCACTGTATGCCTTCAGGAAATTGGAGTCCTTCTGCCCCTCGGTGTGAAGGTACTTTCAGTTCCAGAGTTGCCTTTCTCTTTGATACCAGACATGTATAAGTAATTCCAAGTTTCTTCCTCTAGAGGCACCATGTCAGCCTGTGGGAGAAGATGTTCAAGAGCTTCCAGGTGATCCCCATGTGATTCCAGTTAATACATCCTGTCGTGATGGGTGAGTATGAGATGGTCCATTCAGAGAGGCTCTCTACTTGATTTGTGCAGTACTTGTGTCAATGACTTGTCTTGATGACTCTCTTTAGAGGTTTCTCATTGCCACATTCACATGTAATGTGGAGTTCCAAAGGTCCAACTAACATCTCTGACTTTTTAGTTCTTTCTTGACCTGGAAATGGCTTTGCTGTGAGCAACTCTAAACCTAATAGTTTTCTTACCTGGAAGGTCTATTGTTTTAATTTCTTTACCAAAATTAATGTTTTAAGAATGCCTCTGGATTTGTGGTATAAGGAGGCTAGTTTCCAGAGATGTGATATCAAGAAGAAGCAATGTATTATAATCTCTCTCTAGGTACCAGCTGACTGGACACACTTACCGGAAGTGTCAGGATGCTGAGAATGGGGTTTGGTTCCAAAAAATTCCACGCTGTAAAGGTAGGACAGCACTTAGATTTGTCAGTGGGGTGTAAGGCATTAGGAGTGGCAGGCCATTGAGGAACTATATCAACAGTCTTTGTGCTTTATCTCAGTGTACCTCAGATAAGAAATACCTTTCACTGTCTGGTCATCACTGTGTCACTGGGAAGCAAAGCTGTCAAGTAGGAACTGAGAATTTGTCATACATCTCCTAAATTATATTTATATACTATTGATATAAATTATACATAAATATATATTTCTAATTTAGGTTAATATAGCTGTGTTTCTTTCATTCTTATTACTTTACTATGTTTAAAAAAATTTTAGAATGAATACATATTATTTATATAATCAAAATATTAGTAAGTGTCTTAAGAATACTTTGTAATCTAAATCATATTATAGTTATGTGCTGTACATAGAGTTGCAAAGCTTCATTTGTATCTGAATGATGCCTGTTCACCTTGGTGTACTTGCTAAAGCAGAACTTGCCGAATCTCTTCTGCAGCTATTCACTGCCCGCCTCCACCAGTGACTGACAATGGGAGGCACACTGGTGTGATGGCAGAACACTTTCTGTATGGAACTGAAATCTCTTATGAATGTGACCAAGGATTCTCTCTTCTGGGAGAGAAAACTGTACGATGCATAAGTGATTCTAAAGGACATGGATCTTGGAGTAGACCACCCCCACAGTGCTTAAAACCTCCTCCTGTGACCCATTGCTCTAACCCAGAAGTCAAACATGGATACAAGCTTAATAAAACTCGTTCATCATATTCCCACAATGACATTGTATATGTTGCCTGCAACCCTGGCTTCATCATGAATGGCAGTGAGTTGATTAGGTGTCATACCAATAACAAATGGGTGCCAGGTGTACCAACTTGTATCAAAATAGGTAAGTTGTTTTAAGACATTAACTATAGGATGGTGCTCAAAATAAGGACAAAGATTTTTGAATCTGACTTGCTTGCCACTTGACTTAAAGAAAAGTATGTAAAAGCTTGCTTAAAATACCTGCCTTCTCACCCAATTCTTTCTTGTTCTTTCCTTTTTAAGTGGATTGAGCTAAATATATGAAAGGACAATGGTTAATTGGCAAATGGAGAGTATCTACAAAATTTATTATTGCTACTAAATTAGAATGATAAGAACACACCTACTATTGATGGGGATGGTCAATGATATGGCTTCATAATTGGATATTTAAGGCTGTAAGACCAGCCAGAAAGAGATCTTCGTGCATTCTGAGGAGTGAAGCTGACCTTTGGACCCTTTGAATTCTCTCATAATTTTAGTTATAATTTGTCTATTTTATTTCTGTCAGTGACTAGGTGACTATGTACAATAGAGGGTGGCAATTAGTGACCCAACAACTGAATTTAAGTCACCAGAACAGTTATCTTTGGCCAACATAATATTCCCATTTTAAGTGAAACATGTGTCTACAGCCAAAGATAAATGTTGAACCTTTGATTTAGTGAGGGTTCCCTCTGCTCTCCTGCCAGGCAGCAGTTGCTTGAATTGGCCTTTGGCTGTCATTTTTAGAAGGGCAGGTTCTCTCTTCTTTGTGGTATTTAAAGGGAAAAGGGAATACAACTATTGGCTGCTAGATTACAATTGTGGGTTGCAGCCATAGGTGTTTCATGATCTTACTTTGGACATTTTTCTTCAGATCATTTACAACATACATAGTGCAAATCTCTGTCCAGTGCTGCTTGGTTTGGGTGGAATGGATATGACTAGATACCAGTTAGTTGGCTTGTTGCCTGACTTTTTTCTGTATGGCCATCACCCACAGAAAGTGTTGGCTATGCATTCCTCTGTGCTAAAGACCCTTTTTCTTGGTTTCTAAGCCCTCATAGGATGTCAACCTCCATTTAAGATCCCCAATGGGAATCATACTGGTGGAGATATAGCTCGATTTTCTGCTGGAATGTCAGTCCTGTACAGCTGTGATGAAGGCTACCAGCTGGTGGGAGACGCGCTCCTTTATTGCACACGTGAGGGAACCTGGAGTCACCCTGCCCCTTCTTGTAAAGGTGCATTATCTATTTAATATTTAAATCAAATTTGTTCCAAATAGATATATCCAGTTAGAAACTTTCAACTTAAAATTAGCAAATAAATGCTTTAATTAGATCATTTAATTAAGTGTATTTTGATTAGATTAATATATTAACTAACCTAAATACCACAAAATTTAAAAAACGACTGAGTGAGTAGTTTATCTGGTGAGTGTGACCAATTATGTAAACCTTTAAATATAGAAAGTTGAAATGTTTATATAAATTGAACAACCAAAGTCTGTTACACTGTGATGACAATTATGCTAAGTATGCATCTGACAAAACACTAATGAAAAAGTAGTGCCTTTTTTTCAGTGTATTTCCTTTGAGTGATGGTGGGATATGGGTATATATTTTTTAATAAAAGTTTCAGAATGTCATTTCATTAGGCATATAGAATATGAGAAGTGAGTTAAAATGAGGGGAACCCAAAAACATAGAGCTTATTTATTAAAAAATTATATATTTATTTTTGCTTGTTTAAACTTCAGTCAGTCACCTTCAAAGCACTCTCCATTTGATGCAGTATTGAGACATTTTTTTTCACTGCTCAAAACAGTTTTTGAAGTCATCGATTTGGGTGCCTTTTATGTCTTCTGCTGTTTTTTTGTTTCACTTATTCCACATTGGTAGAATGTTTTCCTTTGAGTACTTTTTTCAGCCGGGGAAACAAAAAATAGTCACTCGAGGTGAGATCAGGTGAATAGGGAGGGTGAGGTATGGGGCTCATGCTGTTTTTGGACAAAAAGTGCTGACTGTTCAGTGCTGTGTGGGCAGGTACACCCGTTAGTGACCCATCATGAAATAGGCAAATGTGCTGAAAGAGTCTTAAAAAAATTCAGAGGCTGAACATAGCCTCTCACAATGTCAGCTAGTACACTGATAGAGATGGGTTCCTAGAACACTCACATAGCAAGGGAAGCCTGTACTACATGAGACCCATTCTCCAGAAGATAATTACAATTTTGGGGTCCCTCCTCATATGTAATATTTGGTGAACACTTTTTCCTGTGTGTCTGATACAGTGCACAGCATTTGAGTGCATTGTCATTTAATCTTTTTGAGAACCATATGAAGTTGGTACTATTTTTATTCCTACATTAGAGATGAGGTGTCAGTAGAATGAAGAGATTCGTAACTGTTCCAAAGTCACACATTAGGAAGGCTGAGCATCAGGATTCAAATCCAAAAACCTCGCAGTATTGGCCCCTACACTGAAGAGATGAAAGAAAAAAGGAGGAAGCATGTACACATATGAATTGGACAGTAAGAGTCAACAGTGATAACAGTAATTCAGAATTCCTACCCATTTAGCCCTCAAAATTTCCCTGACAAGTCATTAAAATTAACCAGCTATTAGTTTAGAAACGAAAATACAAGGAAGGAAAATAATCCTCATTTAAATTACCTAGAGGGTATCGAGATAGATGGCTGACACTGAGAGACTCTACCTATGTTATCATTTTGCTCTTTCAATGAGGCTTTACTGAGAATGAACTAACTAGGTTTGTAAAACTTTTCATTAGGGGAAGAATCTACTTCATTGCTAAGTTACATTCCTTTGATTTCAGAGGTAAACTGTAGCTTCCCAGAGTATATGAATGGAATGCAGAAGGGGCTGGAGTCTGGGAAAAAGTATCAGTATGGTGCAGTTGTCACTTTGGAGTGTGAAGAAGGGTATACCCTTGAAGGCAGCCCCCAGAGCCAGTGCCAGGAGGATCATGGATGGAACCCTCCCCTGGCTGTTTGCAGATCACAAGGTAAGTACAAGGGACTTTGCTGGCACTTGTCTCACTGGAGAAAAGTGACTGAGGGATACCCCTCAATGTTAGGGACTCCTGGGCTTTCAATTGACATAGTCCTGTAACCAGTGGTACAGGAACAGACAAATTTGAAGTTAGTTGTCTATTCTAGAAAAAAACAAAGTTTTCTGAGGATGAGGGAAGTAAAGAAAGAAAAAGGAACACTAACTTAAAAGGTACAAAACTCATAACCTTACATTTCGTAAGGGGCTGGTGCTGAGACTTCCCTTGTTGCTGAATCTTGATTTATAAGGGCTTACCAGTTTGACAGGGACCTCAAAAATATGTTAAAAAATCAGTCATAGCAGTTAATAATTGCATTCCAATCTCAGAAATCCCTGAGTATATTGTTTTTTTAGTTTGTGAACTACCCCATATTACTTAATTAAAAAAGTAAAAACTCAAAAAGCTCAATGAGTTGCAATATAAGAAATGAGAAAAGAGTTGGTAAACCTAAGGTTCCAATTCATTCTTTTAAGTAGATTTAAAGAGAAGAATGTTAGAGAGAACGCTAACTTCAGGATAGTGCCATGGGACTTTGGGCTACGTTGATTCATGCAGCTAGACTAATATGTTCATAATTTTGGATTTTCCGTAGGCTCACTTGTTCCTCTTCTTTGTGGTAAGTTTTCTTAAATAATTAAGAAACATTCTAATGGTTTATAAAAAATTTATATAAAATTTGAGGTCTTACATTTTGCCTGAGTGTTACCATTTTTTCTCTTTCACTCATAAGAAACGAATTATCTTTTTTGGTGTCTTAAGGAAATTTTAATGTGCCCTGTACATTGCAAACTGTCACCTTTGGAGACAATTGAATAAATAATTTGAACAGCCAACTATTCCCAGTTTTTAAGTTGAAAGTTTGATTTATATTTATTCTTGGTCTTTTGCATGATCGGGCACTATAAAAATAGGCTGGCTTATTCTATAATAGAAAAATATATTTCACAACTGAGAATTAACTGTTGTCATGCAAAGTCATAGGATACTGGTGTTCCCAGCTCCTAACTTTACTCCAGTGACAAGAAAATTACTAATAAAACGGAAAACAGAGAAGCCCAATAGAACATCACTGGAACCCTGGGGTCAAATGCTTGATGCTTTAGATTAATGGTGGAATGTTTTGTATCAGAAAAACCCTAAGCCCAAGTATGATTATTTAAAAATTATGTATTTCTATGGCTCAGAAATGGTAAGTATAAAAGTAGCATGCCATATTCTCTTCCACTAAGAATACTCTCCATAATCAGTTCAAAATTATATGGGTAACATTTTTCTGCCATTTGATTACTTGCTGTTTTGTTTTCTAGGTCTTTCTGCAGGTTTTCTGATTCTCATCTGCTTGATTGCTGTTGTCTTACACATGATATTAAAATACAGAGTACAGTAAGTTCAATGCATGCTTAACCAAAATTCACTACAGGTTTCAGCTTCTTGCCTGGAACTAAACACAGAAGTGCAAGTTACAAGAAAGAAATATAGTAATGTGAGAACTGGAATATAGCGTCTTATGCTATATATAGGAAACCCTATCTCTAAGATCTTAGAAGATATTGAACATTTACTTAAATGGTTTATAATCAAATGACATATTATAAAAATTCTAGAAAACAAAGAAAAAATTCTAGAGGTAACAACTATAGATATTTTGGTATATTCCTATATGATCTTTTTCTCATATTATTTTTTTCTTTGCTCTTTTTAAACTAAAATTTTGGTAGTATAGTCCCTCTGCCTAATATTTTTCACCTTGCCCATGTACATATTTTGTGTCTTTACATCATGCTTCCTTATCAAATAATAGTCTATTGTTCTATTATATGTATCTCTGAATTGTGGAAATGTAGGTGGCTTCCACATTGATCTTAATGATTAAGATATGAGGAATGCCTTTTAATAAATTTCACATGTACATGTACTTATTTTCAGTGCTTATATTTCTGGAATTACTAAGGATAAGTGTATGATGTTTTAAGATATTTAATAAATATTACAAGTGATTTTCCAGAAATTTTGTTCTAACTTGACCAAATATCAAATGATTAATATATTTGTGTTTATTGTGTTTGTGTATGTATTTCTGTATTTCTGTATGTTGTGTTTCTGGACTCCTTTTTCTGCTTTATTGATATGTCCATTTTATCAAAAGTACTTTGTGTTACCCCAGCCAGATGGGTGGAAATCGTCCTACAAACTGAAAACTCACCAGTTTTATTGCCAGTCATGACACATGCTTGGGTTATGGGGTCCTGTACTCTGCCCTGTCAGGCACTTACAGAAGGCAGAAGGCAATCAATTGATGTTTCTCTCTCACATCTCTCACATCCCTTCCTGTCTCTCTACAATAAAATTTTTAAAGAAAAAAAAGTTACTTTGTGTATAATAAGTAGGGCTTCCTACTATTCTACTATTTGGGCAGGAATCTCCTCACTGGTTTTTTTTGGTGTTTTTTTAGAATATTTTCCTTTATTCTCTTATGTTTGTTCTTTCAGGTAACTTTTTGATCATTTGTCATTTTCTAAAAACAAATATGTTGTGACTGCATGTATATCTATAGATTACTTTGTGAGAAATTTGTCTTTTCTGTAATGTCTTCCTATTCAGAAATGTACTAGGCCTTTTTTCTGTTCAAGTATTCTTTCACTCAGTTGTTTTTTATAACTACTTAAGTATATTACTAGGTTTCTATGTTTTGTTATATTATGTATTACTATACAGTATTTAGACATACCAGTACTGGGTTTTGATTTATTAATTTTTAATACATTTGAATCCATAATGTTGCCAAAATATGTCATGTAATATTTGGTGAGGATACAAAACAATAATCAGTATGTGAGATTTTTGATCAGAAAAAGTTCCACATTGAAGGAGTTTTTTTGTTGTTGTTGCTTCTCTGTCTTTTGGCCAAAATGAAGCAAAGGAGCTGTTTTAGGTGAGATTAAAGAAAGTGTAGACAAAAATGGAAAGTTCGTACAGGCATGAGGAGCCATTTGAGTAAAGACGCAGAGGCTTATCATTCTACCATTTACTGTGAGAACCACATGCATAGTTTGATGCGACTGGGAAATAGGTGAAGGTGGCATATGTCAAGGTGGAAGCAATGGAATAAAAGCCCCATTTGACATACAATTCTGGTGGAAATTACAGGATATTCTGGCATGTGCTAAGGATACATTATTAGCAAATGACACCATCATGTATCAGCCTTGGAATGTTCTTTGTGCATAAGTTCTTATCTACTGTACATGACAATGTTAGGGAAGATAATCAGATGAAGTCTTACTAAGTCTCAAATTCCAGTGGGGGATGGCCAGGTCATGTCACCCCAAACATATCACTCACGAACTCTAGCAAAAGTTTCTTTAATATACCAAGTGACCTGGATCTTTTATTTAGCATACAGCCAGTATCATTTGATTAAATTGTTCACAGTTGTATGTCTAGTCTAGATATAAGACAAGAAGGGACGACATTGAAACTATGCAATATGGCATCGATGAACCTGAGTAGTTTGTTCTAAGCCCGGGAGGTCCCGAACAGGATAGGTCTGGTAAGGGTCTACGGTTGTTTGCCAGAGAATGGCGCTGTGAATGACTTCGGGAGAAAGGGCATTCTCTGACCAAATAAGATGGAAAAATACTACATGCTATATTTTTCTCATGGAGATTCACAATCACTATGAGAATAAAGTCATTTAATAAAGAAGCCAGTTAATGTTTTTTAAACTGGAGTTTCCCAAACTAATTTTACTGCACAACTTTTTTTCTCATAAAATACTTTTAATAATGCTTGGAACTGATCCGCATTTAACAGACAATTTGGGAATCTAGAAAGGTGGTCAGGAGCTAGATCATCAAAAGCCTGCAGACTGTACCAAGAAGCTGTGGTTTATTTTATAGGAACTTAAGAAAGGAAAAAATATATTCAGATTTGCATTTTCACAAAGTAGCAGGATTGAGCCATTAGTGAAAGCAACTGTGGCAGGGATCAAGAGGATGGAACAGATGTAAGAGGAATTTTCACTGATAAGACTGCAAGATTCCCAGAACTGTGTATCCTGTTGAATGTAGGGAGAAGGGAGCAGAGAATGAGTCAAGTGGAGGTCACTGGGTGGTCCTAGTGTTAGACCAAAAAAGGAGAGGGATGGGTTTGTGGGGAAAGATGATGAGTTCAGTTCTGACCATGCCACTTTGTGGCACCTGTGATGTAGGACTCAAGAGAGGGGCCTGGACTCTGGCAGATGACATTAAACTCACAATTGAAGCTTTGGGACCAAAAATAACATCAAAGATAAAAATAAGTATGAAACCAATTTCAGAAGGACTGTAATGCTTAAAAGGCAAGAGGGGAAGGAACAGTGAGGGGTGGGAAAGAAACTTAGGAGAGGGTAGTTTCACAGAATTGAAGAGAGAAAAGGGTCTCAAGAAAAAAATCAGGATGTCATTTGCATGGCTTTCCTTACAGGAAGTTAAGAGATAATTTTAGCCAAGAGTAATTACAAATTTAAATAAATAGAAAATGTGGTCTTTATCTCTTTCCTTCATTCTCCTTCTTAAGTCTGTTATCAGGGCATGGCATGTGTAAGGAAATTTTCAACCTTAGGAAATGCCTACAAACTCAAATAATTCAGTGTTCCAGTCTGATTATTATTAATTTTATTGGTATAATTACAGCACATGCTATTATTTAAGTGTTTCAACTGATATGAACCAAAAAATTCAATTTATTTTTTGAAAGTTGATATAGATATTTGAACTGCCTTGAATGCTTTTTGTAAATGAGATAAATAATTATTTTTAAATGGGTGGAGAGCAGGATCACAGCTGGGGTGGGCGGAAGTTAGGGGGTGGAGAATTGAGCAAAAAGGAAAAAAGACTCATGGATATGGACAACAGTGTGATGATGCTGGGGGGTGGGGAGCATAAGGGGACTAAATGGTAATAAAAACATAAAAACAAAAATTTTCAAAATTTAAAAATTAAAATGATGTCTTCCATGAACATGGACAGTGGTGTGGGGATTGACTGAGAGAGTTGGGGCATGTGTTTGGTGGAAGGTGACAAAGGGAGAAAGTTGGGACAACTATAATAGCATTAAAATTAAAATATTTAAATAAAAAATTCAAAAATATTCAACAAAATGGATGCCCTGTCACAAAACTAAATATTTATAAAAACCATTTAAACATTTGCAGGAGAAATTGTGCTACTAGTTTCTAGGCCTCTAATATATTTTGATAAAATATAAATATCACATTGACATAAAATTATCATTTTATAATATTCTTAATGGATCTTCCTATAAGCTGACCTCATAAATATGGTAGTGAGAGGCATGCTGTAAGTAACCTTAGAAGTAATTTTTCTTTCCCAGTAATTATGTAATACTTTATTTCTGGGTTTTCCATAGTATTGTGATCACATTTTCTTGCCCTTTGCTAATTTCAGCAAAGTGGTTTTAGAAGCACCAGAAAGCATATGTGTTTTCAAAGAGGAAAAGTAAAAATGTCCTCTTAAAAATCATATAAAGCTTTAGTGCTGTATGATCATGTAAGGATTTTGAATTAAGCATCAAATATAGAAATTTTCTTTGAAATTAGATTGAAAGATTATGTCCCCAAAAGGTAAACAAACCAACGATCATATCCTAAAAAAAAAGACCTTATTTTTTTCCAAATAAAAGTAAAAGTAAGCTGATAATGAGGCAGCTTTCTATGAGAACAAGGACATCCTGGTTCTCAGGACATCCTGGTTCTCATAGAAAGCTGGCTTGTATCAACTTTTGACTTGGACACTTGGCAACCTAGCAAGTTATTTTTATGGGCCTTTCCCCCCAGAATTGGAATTTTAGTGATTATTTTATAGGCTATTTAGGACAATATAATGAAATCATCCATGAAAAGTATTTACCATGTATTGGGAATCATGGAAAGAAAACAACTATTATATGTTTATAGCAATCATAATGAATGAGTAAAGACTTTACTTTTTTCTTCTTCCATTTAGCAATTATTATACAAATAAAAGCCCTACAAAAGAAGATCTTCATTTAGAAACACGAGAAGTCTATTCTATTGATCCATACAACCCAGCAAGCTAATCAGAAGACAAACTGGTATTTAATTAAAATAAAATATTTTTATTAATTTCCATGTCAAAATGTTTCTCAAATTCTATTTATCAATAAGCATAGTGCTAAGTATGTATGGTTCTACTGCACAGTTTTCAAATAATCTTGCATAGAAATTGTACATTAGGCCATATTGCCAATTAATGTTCCTGTTATTTTTATTCACTTAGCCATTCAACAAACACTGGAATAAATAAAATTATTGAGAATATTATGAACAAGAAGATGGTATTATGAAAACAAAAACAGGGAATGGGAATAGATAGGGCAGGATGTTTAGAGAGGAACTTCTCACTCAGGAAATTGCATTTGAGCAAAAACTAGAGTAAAGTAAGGAGTGAGCCATGTGAGAGAAGAACATTCCAGGAAGAAAGATCAGTAAGTGCAAATATCATAATATGTTTTGTGCACGCTGAGGCCAGAATGACCTAGTATGGACTGACTAAGGAACAAAGTGGCAGAAATGAAATCAGAGAGGTAAGGGAAGGAGGGTGAGGATGATTAATCGTGTAGAATATGCTAGGTCATTCAGTGAGTTTGGGGTTTATTTTGAGAAAGGAACCATTGGAGGTGTTAAGCAGAGAGGCAAATGATCATTGTAACTGGTGTGTTAAGGACAGAGTGTAGGAAGCCAAGGGCAGGTGATGAGAAATCAGTGTGGACTCTACCACAATAATTCCAGCAGTGAGTGGCTACCACCATGCTAGTGAGAAGAAGTCAGATTTTGTATGTACTTTTAGGATAGTGACAGTAGGTTTTGTTGCCAGTTTGTATCAGAATATGAAAGAAAAGGAGGAATCAATAATAATACCAGTGTATTTTGGCCTGAGAAAGTAGAAGGATAGAATTGCCATCAATTAAAATGCCTGAGAATTTGAAAGCAGGATTTGCAAGATAAACCAGGAGTTCCACTTTGAAGATGTTAAGTATAAAATATTAAATAAACATCCAAGTAGAAATGCCAGGAAGGCAGCTGGATATACAAAATAAATCTAGACTTGAGATGCTAATTTGGGCCCTGTCAGTGTATGGACTTACATAATAATATGATCAACTAAGATCCCCAAGGATGAGAAAGAGGCTAGGGAAGAGAAAAGGTCCAAAGACTGAGCCTTGGATCCTCCAACTTTAGGAGTCATGGATTGAGAAGGAACCAACAAAGAAGCAAAGAATTCTTGATACAAGAGGAAACCACCTGAGCGTGCTTGTCTAGAAGTCATAGGAAGAAAGAATTGCAAGGAGGGAACTCTGTCAAATGCTGCTGATAGATCAAGAAAATGAGTAGTGAAACTGCCCATTGCATTTAGCAGCACAACACTTGTTGGTACACTTGACAAGAACTGTTTTGGTGGAGAGGAAGGAAGCAAGACCCTGACTGAAGTGAGCTTAAGAGAAAATGAAAGGAGAAAAAATGGAGACATCAATTAAGACAACTCTTTTAAGAATTTTTTCTGACTTCCGCCAAGATGGAGGCAAAGGTGGAAACACCTTGTGTCCTTGCACAACCAAATCTAAAAACAACAAAGTTCTAATAACAATAAACGCAATCAAACCACACAGAAAATCGACAATACAAAGTCTGAAAATAATGAAATGCTCAGCTAAACCAGTAAGAGGGGCGAAGCCAGCAGCGGAACGGGTTGGGCAAAAAGATCCCCAACTGGGGTGGTGCTCGAGCAGCCGAAGGCAAGGATCCCAGGTGTGGGCTAGCTATGGGCAGACACAGGGAAGAGGCGCAGCTGTCTGTCTGCAGTAGGTCGAGCATTTGCGCACAGATAAACCAGTCAAGATGCGAGCATTGAGACTGCACGGCGCAGGGCAGCAGGCTCCCACATTTCCGCTCAGATAAACAAGCGGGGGTGAGTGGTGGGATGGACTGGGCTAGCGGAGAGGACCATCATTGCTCCCTCTCTGATCCCGCCCCCACATACAGCATCACAAACCACAGACCTGGGTGGTCCCGCCCTGGTAAACAACTAAGGCTCTGCCTCTCATACATAACAGGCACAAACAGATAAAAACATGGCTCAAGAACAACTCAGAGCCCCGGAGCTGATAAATCTGAGTGATGAAGAAATAGCCAAACTTTCAGATGGACAGCTCAAAAAACTGGTGATCAGGATGCTCACAGAACTGGTTGATTTTAGTCACAAATTAGAGGAACATATGAAGGCTTAACTAATTGAAATGAATGGTAATGCACAGGAAACCAATAGTAAGGGAAAGGAAACTGGGACTCAAATCAAGGGAGTAGACCAGAAGGAGGAAAAAAATGTCCAAGCAGAAAAGGATGAAGAAATAAGAATTCAAAAAAATGAGGAGAGGCTTAGGAACCTCCAGGACATCTCTAAACGCTCCAACATCTGAATTATAGGGGTACCAGAAGGGGAAGAGGAACAGCCATGAATGGAAACCTTATTTGAACAAATAATAAAAGAGAACTTTCCCATTCTGGCAAAGGAAATAGACTTCCAGGAAATCCAGGAAGCTCAGAGAGTCCCAAAGAAGTTGGACCCAAGAAGGAACACACCAAGGCACATCATCATTACATTAGCCAAGATTAAAATAAAGGAGAGAATCCTAGAAGCAGCAAGAGATAAGGGGACTGTCTCCTACAAAGGAGTTTCCATTAGACTGTCAGCGGATTTCTCAAAAGAGACCTTACAGGCAAGAAGGGGCTGGAAAGAAGTATTCCAAGTCATGAATTCCAAAGGCCTACAACCAAGATTGCTCTATCCAGCAAAGTTTTCATTTAGAATGGAAGAACAGATAAAGTGCTTCTCAGATAAGGTCAAATTCAAGGAGTTCATCATCACCAAACCCTTACTATATGAAATGTTAAAGGGACTTACCTAAGAAAAAGAAGATTAAAAAAATGAACAGTGAAAGAACAGCAAACTCACAGTTATCAACAACCACACCTAAAACAAAAGCAAATTAAGAGGACAGCTAGAGCAGGAGTGAACCATAGAAATGAAGCTCACATGGAGGCTTAGCAACAGGGAAGTGGGACAAGGAGAAGGGGGGAGAAGGTCCAGAAAATAAGTAGCATAGATAGTAGATAGAAAATAGATAGGGGGGAGGGTAAGAATAGTAGGGGAAATACAGAATCTAAAGAACTCGAGACATGTTCATGAACTAAAGGGGGGGAATGGTGGGGGAGGGGTGTGCAGGGTGGAGGGGAATGAAGGGGGGAAGTAGAACAAATGTAATGGCATAATCAATAAAAAAAGAAAAAAAAAAAAAAGAGTTTTTTTGTGAGGAAGAGCAGATAAGTAGATTGATGATAAGAGTAAGAAAGAAACCAAGCGAAATGTTTTTAAGATAGAGAAATGGCAGCTATGCTGCTATTCCTATGTGCGACTAAGAATGATCTAGGAGAAACTGGGAGAATGAGGGCAAAAAAGGTCAGAATTGCTGGAGCAATGTCTGGGTAAGCTAGAAGGAACAGCATCTAGGGTGCAAGCAGGGTGCTGTAGACCTCAGATAGCAGCATGGCCTTAGGAACAAGAGGGAAAGCAGAACATATGGGTGCAGATGAAGGCAGGTGGGGAGGTGGGATGGTGAATGCATGTGTGGAAGTTCTCTTCTGATGATTCTGTTTTCCCGTTGACTAGAATGTAAAATCATCAGCTGAGAAGAAGATTGAGAAAGGAGATGATAGAGATTTAAGGAGTAAGAAGAAGGCACTAAGTAGCCATTGCTGCCTTGGCAGGCAACAGCAAGGGTCCCCCGAGGTTTCCAGGAGAAAATGGGAGTGAACAGTTGAAGGTTTACTGTGTGCAGGCATTATGCTGACAGTCTCTCATGCCTTACCTTGTTTATCCAGGGTACAACACTGAAAGTTCAGTATTGTCCCCAGATAATACTGAGGTGAGCAGATAATATCTGAGATGAGAAAATCAGGGCTAAATGTTTCTCTTGATCATGGTTTTGGGGTCAGCACTTGGCAAAGGTAGAATCCAAGTTCAAATCTGACTTCAAACTGCTTTCTTTTACATAATCTATAAAATACAAATATCATTTCTGACCTCTTGCAACTTTAATAGTAAAATTAAAAATAGGACACATACATATCATAGTGTAAGAATACATTGAGTAAACAAGATACAGAAAAATAGCTCTGGCAGTGGAGGAAGAAAAGGTAACTTGCTGCGGGAGAGTCAGAGCAAAAGGGTTGAGAACAACAGTATGAGGCCATGCCAGAGTTATCTCTAAATTGAAAGTCGTGGGGATCCAAAGTAAAGCTATGACATAAATATTAGTTAAGTGAATATTTGAATAAGTGAAAATAAGACTATTGGTTTGGTTTCTTTCTCGCTTTTATTCATATTTATTAATATTAAATTTAACTGTTATTTTTTCATATTATCTGAAGAAAGACCTCTTCATAGGATGATGTCTTTTTATAGGCTTCTTATATGCTTTATACTTCATTGGTTGTAGCACTTATAATTAGTATATGCAGAGAATGTTAACACTCTTGCTAGTTAAACTTTGATTTGCACCAATGTTATTTGTGCTGCTTCTTAAACACAAATTATTTATTTCAGTGTGCCTTCTTGCTTGGAATCCAACTGAATGTGGATTGGAAAGAATCAGCAAGTATGAGTTCAATATGAATGAAATGATTTCATAAGCTATTTCTTCCTATTTGCACTTACTTTGAAGCAAAACAAAGGGAGTTTGCTTGATGGCAAAGATGGGAGCCCAGTTTCTCTGCCACCTGCTCTTTATGGTGTTTTTGAAGCCTCATGTGTGATGTGCCTGGAGCCAGGCTGTTCCTGGAATCAGTTACGTAGCTCTGAAAGTGTCACCATTGTAAGGAAGGCACTGTCTTTTTATGTAGATTCTTCTTTTTGTAATTAGCATGTTTACTGTTACCATATACTTTTGGTTATTGTATGGTTTTACTTCCCTGTGGCTAGTATGGGCATATTTTTGTTGGGAAGACTGATTTTGTTTTAATATGGTTAAACATATCTTTTCAGATATGGTTAAACATTTCACTTCTATTTCCACTTAGTTTGAGTTTTTCTCATAATATATTGCGTTTGGCAAAGTGTATTGGCTTGTCGCCTTTCTATAATCACTCAGTAATTATAACTTGCACATTTTTTAAGTTATGAAAGTTTCAATTCTAACATTTTTGTATACAATCAATCTGTAGATATTTCCTTGGCAGTTTTGTCAGAAGCTCTAGTTGCTTGTAAAATGTCACTTGATAATATGTACATTAGTTATTCAAATAAATTTTATCTTAAACACTTGCCTTATATAATTTTTCTTTCTGTATTCAATGAACTATTGAATACAGACATAGTCGGGGGGTTTGGAGTTCATGACTTAACATTTATGCATTCTAGAACCCACCTCAACATCTTTTTGGCCAAAGTCTTAATCTACAAACTCAGTTCCTTCATTCTCAAGACTTTCTCTTATATTTGTCCAGCTAACACCTTTCCACAACCCATCACCACACTTTTTCTCTCTGGCCACACTCTAAATCCAGTTGTCAATTTTCTCTGTTCCAGCATTTAAACTACTGAGGGAATAAAACCTTGCTTCCTGACTACCAAAAATTTACTCTCCCCGTCTCCTCCCAGACTATGTATGCCATTTGTGGTCTTTTTAAACTATTGTCATAAAAAGTATAAAACATAAAATTTTCTATCTAAACCCTTAAGTGTACAGTTCAGAAGTGTTGAGTATATTTACATCATTGTGAAACAGATCTCTAGACCTTTTCCACTTAAGAAATTAAATGCTATTCCTATTATAAAATAACTCCACATTCCCCTTTCCCTCCAGTCCCTGGAAACCATGATTTTAATTCCTGTTTCTATGAATTTAACTACTTTAGCTACTTCATGTTGGTGGAATCATACAGTATTTGCATTTTGTGACAAGTTTATTTCACTTAGCATAGTGTCTGTAAGGCCCATCCCTATTGTAACATGTGGGGGCAACTTTTCCTGCAACGTCATTGTTCCCCATCCCCCCCATGAAAGTGAAACTACCAAGACGTGATCTGCTCCGGGAGGAAAGGTGGCCAATCCATCAAAGGGGAAGGGCCAAGAGCCTCCTGCTCAAGGGACTTTTATTGGGTTTGTTAGCACAAGAATACAGGTAAGGATCAAACAATAGATAGCATTCAAAGAATTATGAGGGCTTATTCTCAGGGTCAGATAGCTAAAGAGCCATAAAACTTTGAGAAACTTCTTGCTTGGACCCTTATCATTTAAATGAAAGCATTCTAAACAAAGCAGCCTTCACAGGATTTTACATATTCTTTCTTAGGCCTGATCACCTGGGGAACCCGCCCTATCCAGCACAGGGCTGCACCACCTTCCCCATTATAGGTTTTTAGGCTTAAGTGGATTAGAGCCAGGAAGTGCTTCTCCCAGATGGAAATGGGGACTCAGGCTATGTCAGAATAGCAGGGGGTTAGGGTCTATCGTTCCCTTTTTGTTGCAGACCCCCCCCCCCGCACTGAGTCCTTCCATGAAGGCCTCCCAAGTGATTGTGTCTGGCTTAGGTTGCCCCTCTCTGTGAGGGGTCTTACCCGTCTCTGACTAGCCGACCATGCTTTGGGGGCAGGGGAATAAGCTGAAGCAGTATTTTCTACCAGAGACAAGGTTTGTCTCCCTGTGGCTCACATTCCGGAGGTCACTCACTCAGTCTTAGCCATGGGGGCAGTTAAAATTCCTGAAACCGGGCAGAGCGGTTCCCAATAGTAACATATTTCAGATTTCTTTCTTTTTCAATTTCAATGATATTTCATTGCACATATATACAACATTTTGTTTATGCATTCATTTGTCGGTGAATATTTGGCTTGCTTTTACCTTGTGGCTGTTGTGAATAATATTGCTGCAAACAGAGATGTGCAAATATCTCTTTAAGACATTGCTTTCAATTCTTTTGGATATATACCCAGAAGTGGGATGTAGTTCAGCATCTTTTATTCACTCCTATTTTCATTTCTTTATATTATCTGTTCATGTACCTCAGGCTAGTTACTATAATCTACCATCATCTCTATTGTTCATCTTTCTCTTAAATGATGGAAACATCACAGGTAACTCTCAACTTTCCCTTCCTCCACCTCCAAGTTGATCAATATCCACATGTCATTTTCACCAACTGCTTTTCACAGATTATATACTATTCTCTACCATCCCTTTCTCTTTCTTCCAGGACGTTGCTCCATTAGTTATATCCTCTCTCATCACGGGCTCCTTTCCACCTGAAAACATGCTCAAGCTAATACCCATTCATCTGCAGTGACAAAAATCTACCTCACAGTGGTTTGGACCAAATGGGATTTTATTGTGTCACATGACAGAAAAGATCATGGGTACACTGGCTGCAGTCAAAACAGAAATTAAATATTCAAACTATGTCCTCAGGAATCTGTTCCATCCTCTGTGTCTGCTTTTTTCTGCTGGCCTCAATGTGTGGTTGACACTCCCTAAAAACTGGAAAAATATTTGCTGAGAATGACAAGCACACAACTCAACAGCTTAGCATTCCAGCAAAAAACTTTTTCTGTCCAATAACTTCTTCACAGTTCCCTTCACTACCTTTGTACCAATCAAAGGTACCACCACCAATCAAAGGTCATATACCACCAACTAAATCACTTACTAGAGCCAGGGCAATGAAATGCCAGATGAAAAGGCCTGAGCTGCCTGCCCAAGCTTAGAGCTATGGTAGAATTGATCAACCTCAGTGATTCTCAAGTGGGGTGACAGTTTCCCCTGAGGACATTGGCAATGTCTGTTAACATTTTTGGTTGTTAAAGCTGGAGGAGGGGAGTGTTTTGACATCTAGTGTGTAGAGGCCAGAGATACCACCAAACATCTCACAGTGCACAGGGCAGCCTCCCACAACAAAGAATAAGCTCTTGTAACGTGTCAATAGAATCAGGGTGGAGAAACCATGGTCTGTGAACCACATGGAACTAAGTGGAAGAGGGAATTTCCTGAAGGATAATCAGGTGACTGATCCCAGATGAAAAGGCCCAATTTAAGCAGCCCAGCTGAAAGCAAATCCTCCTCAAACCATCCATGTTTCTCTCAAGCTATCCCCCTACTCTTTACCACTAAATTATCTGAAAAAGTGGTTGACCTTAGCCACTTCAATTATTTCACTTACTCACTCAACAAATAATTGTATACATCCTTCAGTGTGCTAAGCAATGTTTTAGGTCATGGGATGCAGCAGTAATAAAATGAAAATCCTCATGTAGCTTCATTCTAGTGAGGAGATACAGACAATTAAGCAGATTGTCAAATTACAATTGAATAACAAATAGAAATACAATATTTTTAATTATATAAAGCCATGAAAGAGGAAAGAAAGTTCAATGGTTGTGCGGTTGTTAATAGTGGCCAAGGAAGGTTTTGTAGATGGGGTCATATGTGAGCAAAAGAACCCAAGATGAAGGAGCCTAAATGCAGATAGCTATCTGGCCAGAAAGTGTTCCATGGGAAAAGAACATTAAAAGAAAAACAAAGAACTATGCCAGCTGTCAGGATGGGTGAGGTAGGGAAAAATGGCAGCTGAACTACAACCTGGAAAAGATGGCTGATGTCAAACCAGAGAGCCAAAGGGCAAGTTTTGCCAAAACGGATATCCGCATAGCAACCTGAGCCCGAGGAGGACTGCCAATGATATATTGCCACTTCGTTCAAAGGGGACCAATCCCCAGCTCCCATGAAGAGAGCCAACCAAAATAAAACCCTGCCGTATTCCCTGCTTGGGAGTGACTTCCCCCACCCCACTCTGTGGACCAGAGAACCTCGCCTGGGTGCGCAAACCCCAATAAAGCTCTATGCTGCTTAACTTTGTGGTTGTCTGGCATTTCTTCCTCGGTGGAGCCTAAGAAAACCTTTCACTGGCAACATTTGGAAAAATCCACTAGAAAAGGAAACAGCATGCCGAAGAGAGAGGAGAATTCCTGGAGTGATGTTTTTGAATAAGTAAAAGCAGATGAACTGTCCTGCACTAGTAGAGCTGGAGAAAGTAGCTTTAGATAATGCTGTGGACAGCAGAACCATAGGTCTTTGGCTGAAGCGAGGAGAGAAGTTTGTGGAAATTTGTTTTGATTGCTTCTATTTTCTCTGAAGAAAAGGAAAAAAAACTATAAACAGATTGAGAATGAAGTAGGAGATATCTACATTCAACATCAATTAAAAATATAAAATTGTCACTTAACAGAATGACAAAGTAAATGTACTAGGCAAATACAGTAGGAATATAGGCCAGTATTAAAATGGTCCATTTGAAATGAGTTGTCTGTAACATAAGAGTAGTTAGTCATCATGGATACATGTTTTTCCCTAGCCATATTCTGTTTCTTGGTAATAAGGGCAAAATTATGGAGAATTGACTCTACCCAGGATTATTGTTTGTCTAAAATGTATTATAAGTGACAGAAGGGCAATGGAGCTGAGGTTGCATGAAAGATAGTGATTACAATGATGGAACATGGAACTCAACCTGGTAAGGCTGAAAGTGAGGACACCAAGAGGGTCTGAGGCTGAACAATGGTGGTGAGATCAGTGGTTTGCAGGTACTGAGAATACGGAGGTTGCTGTGGTCAGGGCAAACTATAAGGGCAGGGCTGGTGGTTGGACAGCAGGAAGACTGAAACTCTGGAAGGTCTCCAGTTATTAATGAGGACAAGTTCTAAGGTACTTCCATGGACATAAGTGACAGAGTAGAGTGAAGGACCAGATCATTGGCAGAAAATATCAAGGCACTGAAAGGCCAGGTATTTGGAAATAGCATCACTGTGAATATTGAATCACTGGGGAGTATGAATGCCATAAGAGTGGTGAAGGTTGCTGTGAGCTAGGGGCTAAAACCTTCAAGGAATGAGGGGAGACAGCAGATGCCAGGAGATTAGTGCAAAAGCAGTGGTAATGAGTGGTGTATTCTGATAGCATGTGAGGTGAAGCTAGGGAGTTGAAGCTTCTATTCCCTTTTCATCAGCCTCCTGGGATGTTGCTGATTCTTCCATTACTCTACTGAGAATAACTTGAAAGGATGATAACAGACCCTTGAAAATATGGTGTTAGATGTATTAAAAAGAGGTGCAAAGAGTGATACAATCAAATATGATAGATATTTTTTGCAGCAGAGTCTTGAAAGAAAAATGAATGGAAACTAAGGAAAATAAAAAAACACACCTCGCATTTGTGACACTGTCCTTTCTCATCTATCAAGGGTCAGGACTGAGACTTGAGTAAAAGAGCCAAATGAAGTAAGACAGTGTCCTGGAATCAGAGTTAGGGCTTATTCTATATAACTGGTTTCCTTTGTAATCCATGTACTTTATTTCATTCATTTAAAAATAATTCTGAGAAGGGATCTCTCCATAGTATTGACCAACAGGCAAAGAGATCCATAATACACAAAACTTAAATATTTGCTTTCCAAAGAGCCTCTTGTTGGGCCATTCTGGGAGTCCTGCTTCATAATCAACAAACTACCTATATTCCCAACTTTTCCCTAGAACATTCCCACATCCCTTGGGCCTCAATAAACTACATCTGTCTCATACCCAAGGCTTCATCAGTTAAAAAACCGAAAACCTTTTTATGCTTTTTCTTGATCCAGTAACACACACTCTTTCTCTCTCTTGTATTCATCTCCTGCTGCTGCAGTAACACATTACCTTATAGGTAAAAATGACACAGATTTATTCTTTTATGGTTCTGTTCAGAAGTCTAAAAAGTGTTTGATGGGGCTAAAATCACAGTGTTAGCATGACTGGTGCCTTCTGAAAGCTCCATGGGAGAATTCCTGATTTGCTTTTTCCAGCTTCTAGAAGGGACTGTCATTCCTTGGTTTATGGCAGCATCATTCTAACCTTTGCATCAACCACTACCTTCTCCCATTCTGATCTATTGTCTTTCTCTAACTAGGACCCAGTGATTACATTACCCATGCAGATAATCCAGGGCAATTTCCCCATCTCAAGATTTACAGAACCTCTCATTACATAAGGTAATGAGTTCACAGGCTCTAGGGATTAGGAGAAGGACATCCTTAGGGAGCCATTACTCAGGTTCCCACACACTCCAACTTCTCCCATCTTTAAACTCTTAACCCCATGCTCCAAGTATGTCCCACCCCCATATTTTAAAAAATTTTAATAAACTGTAAAACCCATAATTTAGAGTCCTGGAGCAAATTATTGTTTTATTTTTCTCACCACTAACTTTAGGAAAAGAAGTAACCAATATCCAATGCACAAGCAAATTTTGTTCATTCCATCTTCAGTATCTTCTGTAGTTGTTCACTTTATCTCCAGTCAAGACCAATATCACATCTAAGCTGGGTGATGGCAAAGCCTCCTTGCTGGCCTCTGTGTCTATTCACCCTTGTCTTATTGCATACCGATCTTCATAAAACAGAATTATATTTAAAAATTTTAAATCTAATTAAGCCACTCTCTTTAAAAAAAAGCTTTCAATGTCTTGTTATATCTCAGTTCAACAGAAAGAAATTGATCCTTCGTTCTCCCTCCACACTGTACATGTTGTTTGCAACTGTCGCCTCAACACAGACATCAAGCATTTCATGAGCTGACCTACCCACGCAAATTCCTGCAAAGGGCAAAAATTAGGTAGGAGTGTAATGCAGCTGAGCTGGGAGAATCCACTTCCTTTGGAACTGCCTATTCAGGCAGGCAGAACATATCAAGGAACGGAAGCTTTGCTAGATTTTGTTTCTGTATATGGGTCCCTACTCTAAGTTGGTCTCTGGGAGGCAAATTGGCCAGGAACAGTGTAAATTGTGAGTAAACAAGACCTGCCCATTAAGGGGAAGCTGTGGTCAAAAGCTTTTTGTCCCGGAACCCTAACAGCGCTCTCCACACTCCGAGGGCACAGCCCTGACTGCGGTCTCTGTCCTCTGAGCCGAGCTTTCCCATGACTTGGATTTTCTTCCAGACTGCATCGGGTTCCTAGAGGTGCTTGGGGAAGATGGGAGACTCCCCTTCGAAGAGCCAGGAGTCTCTCTGGCCGCTGGCGCCCCTTCTCTCCTGCTCCGGAGGAGCCCTCCTGGTGGTTCGGGTACTGCTTGAACTGCCGGCAGCCTGGGGTGAGATGCGGGAGGGCGAGGGGAGCAGATCCAGAGGGCAAGGCAGCCTCTGAACCGGCGGACCCTGAGGTTTCGTTTTCAGAGGGCTAAGCCTGTGAGAGGGCGAGGGTAAGGCAGTTCGGAGCTCTGGGATGCCTTCCATGTACCCAGACTCTCCTTGCCTCTGGGTAAAGGTTGAGTTCCCTTCTGCAGGGTCTTACGTGGTCCCCAGAGTAGAGGAGAGCGCAGATGCCAAAATGATGCCAAGCCAAATTCCTAGTCTTCCTGTGGCAAGAGAGGTTGGCTGTGTTAGATCCTGTCACTTATCCTAGTGAAAGAAAAGGGTCTGGATGGCCCACCAGCCTGGGTGCTCCTCCTAAAAACTTCTTAGCTGTGAGGAAAGTTACTACCCTTGCCTGCTTCTGTTTGCTCATCTGTAGAATGGGAACACTGATAATTCCTACCTCGTGGTATTGCTAACAAAATGGCATAAAGCATGCCAAGGGTCTAATTCAGCACTTGTCAGTTAATTTCTATTCCCCAGCCTAATGGTGCTCTGCACTTTGTTCATGAGGGTGTTTGAACGAGCAGTCCCAGGAGGTGCAGTTTTCATGCGAAACTCCTGCATTGGGCTATATTCAGGCCACTCACACCCTGCACCACCACCTCCATCATTAATGTGAACTTACTGAGTGCCTACTTTAAGACATGTCTCTTGTAGGGCACTTGGTGTTAACAAGAGCTCTGAAAGCTCCAGAACCCTCAGAGTGTGTAGGTGGCCTCAGGAAGAAGGAACTGGAGAGTGGTTTCCTTAATGTCTGTTTTTACTCATCTGTTTAGTACAAAGTGAAGCCTGTAATAACTGTGATGGAAATTTTGAGGCCACACCTTTCCTTTCTTCCTTTTAATTTCAGACAGGTAAACAACTTCAGTGAGAACCCTTTCCTCTTATGTTTGGCTTCCTCAGGAGACTTCTTAGTTGCTTGGACTCACTGGCAACATCTCGGTTAAGTGACAGTCTTGATTCTTTTTGTCCTGCTTCTTCTTGACAACTGGGTTTGCCCTTCTCTGTCACTAGACACTTTACATTAATTATTTCTCTTCTAAGAAAGGGAGAAAATAAGTTTTTGTAAAAGTTGGTATTACTATTTTTTCTCCTTCAACATGAAAATCATCCCAGGTAAGTTAAGTGATCTGTTGCCAGTGCATAGAAATTGTTGTGGACCTTTTGAGTATCTGGCTCCCTTCTTACTAGAATGTTCTTATAGTTTGCCTGTGTTTACTAAGTTACTGTTATAGAAAAATCCCAGACACTATTAAGTGCAAACAAATTTTTTACTAAGGTCATCCATCGCAATAACCTCCTAATATGAAATAACCTAAACTAAACTAACTAGTGATTTACTTGCCAAAGTAATTTATATAAAATAAATGCTGCTGGGATGCTGACAATATCTGAGCACTTTGGATTGAAAAGAAGCATGGGAGAGCTATGCCTTCAAGGTGTATGCATATAGACCCCGGAGGGTGGGGTTTTATGAAATCTCTGATTAGGACACCAGGGTTCATGGGTCTTGGACCCATTAAGTCCATTAACATCCCTAATGTTAAGTGTTCGTGAATATAAAATGAATGTAATTGACATGGGGTCATCTGAGGGGCCTATTGCAAAAATCCCAACAGGAAGTATATGTGATAGTGTTTCGTAACTTGAAAATTCCCAAGTAGGTCCTGACTGGGAAGTCACAAAAAGAGAATCTAAAGGCCACAGGATGACTGGAGTGGAGACATCTCAACTTCAGTTACCAGAGAAAAGTGAATGGAAGCAGCATGGGTTAAGCAGCACTTTAAAAGTAATCCAAAGAACAGTTGCACAGGATAATTCACAGAGATACTTGATAAAGTTCATCACACTAATTGAAGCAGCACTAGGATAGTGTTTAATATAAGGCAGTCTCTGTCGCCCTCTTCTGGTCCTCAGGTCAGTTTTCACTGCTCCCCTGCTACAGAGATGTAAGGTAGAAAGGGCCTCGGGAGCCATCTCTGTGTTTTCTGAAGTATTTCAGTTTACCTATGCCCAGATGAGAGGTTTCTTTCCTTCTGGTCCTTGGTTATATTTACTGTAACCTTCACAATTGAACAAGTAACTTCTTTTTTTTTTTTAATTAATTAATTAATTTTAAAAAATTTTATTTACTTATTTTTCAAGTACAGTTTAATGTCTCTTTCTCCCATCCCAGCCCAACCCGCCCCGTGCTCCCTACCTCCCTCCCATTTCCACCCCTTCATACTTGTTCCTCCAAACCCCTCCCCTTTTTTCCCCTTAAATTCCCTCCCCTCTCCCCTCTGGTCACTGCCCACTTGTTCTCTATTTCAGTGTCTTTTGTTTTTATTCTGCTTGCTTGTTTGTTTTGTTGTTTAGCTTCCTGTTAAAGGTGAGATCATATGGTATCTGTCTTTCAACACCTGGCCTATTTCACTCAGCATAATGCTTTCTAGTTCCATTCATGTTGTTGCAAAGGGTAGTAGCTCCTTCTTTCTCTCTGCTGCATAGAATTCCATTGTGTATACGTACCACAATTTTTTGATCCATTCATTTACTGATGGTCACCTAGGTTGCTTCCAACTCTTGGCTATTGTAAATGGAGTAACTTCTTAACTTTCTTTCATAAAATCACTGAGTGAAATAATTCCAATACTCAAGCAAACAAGAAAATGGCAAACCTGACAACCACTCCTACACACACAGAACACAAACACACACAGACACACATACAAGCTCTTTGTCAGAGGCATTATGAGGAAATAATACTGTCAGTCTCATCACGACTTAAGCAAAACTTGACAAAAACAGAAAAGTAGATAATGTCAAGGAACTACTTAAAATATAGCTTTATATCTATAATTTTTAAGAGAAACTCACTGTAACTATATTTTGTCCCTTTAGATGTTAGTGAATATTCATATTAAATTATTATTAGCAAAGCATGTATAATGTTTATTTCACTTATATCCTGTTTCTATCTCAATTTATATATAATATATAATATTAATATACACATATAATTTATAAATGTACAATATCAAATATAAATATTTAATTGTAGTATTAACTAATGTGCATTATATAACATAAAATTATATTTCTGTCATATATGTTTGCATACATGAATTATGTTATATTTATAATCTATAACTTATATAACATATAATTACATTATAGATTATAACTAGGTCATTATATAATAGCCTTATTAAGCTATATAATATAATATATAGTATGAGTTATAGTTTGTATATATTGTTTATATGTATAACTTGTAACACTGTGTTATACCACACAATATTAATCTATTTAATATATAACATACTATATGCCATATTATATATTGTAAATTAATGTTATCAATATACATATTATATTACATATATTTGTAATAGACCAAATGTAATATACAATATGTTTATTTTATATAATTTATACTTATAATACTTAGGCATGAAGTATATAAATATTTAACAGTGCATGATTTTTTTCCCTTGAACTGATAGGGTTGCTTAACCAAAACATCTTCAGGTCCCTTCAATACAGAGGACAATATGTAGACTGGGGAGCAGAAGTTACTGTAGGTTGGCAGCTCATGCTTGAACAGATGTGGAAGTGATCATGAATAAGTTGAGCTTGTTACAAAAATAAATCAACCTTCCTTGAATGGAAGGTTTGAATTAGAAGAATCTGAGAGTGGACTGTGTCATCCAAGACAAAAAAAGCTACAATGACAAAATATGCCTGTTAGAATGACTAAAGTTATTAAAACCAACCATACCGTGTGTTTGAAATAAGGTGAAGTAATTGGATTGTCACATTCTACTCATCGGTAAAAAGATATAACCACTTTGGAAAACAGTTTGGCCATTCCTGAAGATATCAAAAACACATTATCATATGACTAAAGCCTTTTACTTGTAGGTATTTACTCATATACAAATTCAGGAAAGCTTCTGAGATCACTGGTCACGGATCCTCCAGTGCTTTCCCAGCAAAACTGGCTTATTACAAACTAGTTCTGCACATGTACATTAAATAAACTCTTGGAAGCAAAGCGAGCCTACCTTTTCAGAATATTCAAATCTGTCTGTTTACATTTTCCTTTTCTATAAATAATAACTACACTACTATTTTTCAAGTGCCTTTTATGTGCAAGGTACTACTAAATGCTTTGCATCTTGAATCTACCAGCAAACCTACTAGGTAATTATTATCATCAGCTTTCTGAAGATGAAACTGAGCTCAGTGAAATTAAGTAGCAGGTCAAGATTTCAGAGCTAGTAAATTCAAGGCTAAGTCTCTGAATTTAAAGTTTTTAACACCATATGCCATCATCTTTTGTTTTAATTTCTTATTGCTACTATAACAAATCACCACAAACTTAATGCCTTGAAGCTGCAATTTTCAACCAGGGTGCCACAAGAGACACACTGGTGTGCCACAAGAATTTTTAAAAGATTCAGTATCTGACTATTTAGTCAAGGGCATTGACCTTTTTTTTCTTAAATTGTAAAATTTCAAAAAGAAAAAAAGAGAAAAAGATAACAGCCAACACAACAATAGAAGTGCTGTGTGAATGAATCAAAATTATACCCATTTTTTGTCAGATTGGCCAAAAATTTTTTTTTGGTGTGCCACAGAATTTTACTAATTAGTTTATGTGTGCCATTGGGTGAAAAAGATTGAAAATCGCTGGCTTAAAGCAGCAGAAATATATTCTCTTACAGTTTAGGGTGTCAGATCTAAAATGAGTCCATAGGGCTGTGTTCCTTCTGGAGGCTCCAGGACAGAGTAAGTCTGCTTGCTCTTCCTATTGTCCAGAGTCTGCCTATCGCCTTTGTGCTTGTGGTCCCTTTCTCTACCTTCACAACTAACAATGCAGCATCCTCAAATCTCTTTCTTTTGTCTCCTTTGACTCTGCATCTCTCTTGTAAACACCTTTGTGATTATATTTAAGGCTCACACAAACAAT